TCCCCAAATTATTTCCATCCTTTTCTCCAGTACTACAGATAACTGCAAGGTCGGCAGTTCAAGCTCACCAGCTGCTCCTCGGAAACCCTATACAGGGTCGCTATGGGTCGGAACCGACTCGATGGCACTTCACAACATATCAAAAGGCACAGACCAGATGTTTGTAGCAGCTCTAATGAACACAATCAAGAACTAACTGGAAATAACCCAAATGGCCAACAGAAGAGTGGACCAACAACTTGGATTGATTCATGCACTGGGATACTACTAGGGATTGCTCCACAAAGGTGGATGTTGAGTGGAAGAAGCTAGGCCAAAGGAAGACATGCTCCTTAGTTACAATGATATTATAAGGATGATGTTATAAAAATGCTTAAGACCACCACCAACCATGTGTGGAATAAGGAGAGGTGTGGTCTGTTAAGCACAAGACTGTGAACCACAACGTCAGCTGTTAAAGCCCACCAGCTGGCAGATGAGACTTTCTGCTCCCAGAGAATATTGACAGCCTCGGAAACCCTATAAAGTGTTGCTACGAGGCTCAGAATTAACTCTATGGCAATTACCACCACCACCAGCATGTGCATAAAAATTCATTGAAGTGTTTAAGACTTGCTTATTCTATAAACTGTCAAGGAGCTCTGGTAGCATAGTGGTTATGAATCGGACCGCTAATCTCACGGTCAAGCAGTTCGAAACTACCAGCTGTTCCGCAGAAGAAAGATGAGGCTTTCTGCTTCCGTAAAGATTTACAGCCTCGGAAACCTTGTACAGGGTGGTTATGAGTCAGAACCAACTCCACGGCACATCACAACACCAACAATGAACTGTCAAACCTCAATATAAAAGAAAAAAAAAGGAAACCCTAAGTCGTACTATGTCAGTGCTTGCTGACACTTTGTCAATGGCTCTTGCACTGATTTCTCCACGTGCACCTCCTCCCTCTCCCTCTCAATCCCTCATTCCAGCCCCACTAGCCTCCTTGGTGCTTCTCAAGCACAGTCTCAGTGTACTCAAGGTCTGGTCGTGGTTGTACCCTACTGGAAGACTCCACCCACCGATAGCCACGCCCTCACTCCCTGACCTCCTCCAACTTCCAGCTCCAATGCCACGCCTTAGAGAGGCTTTTCCTTGCCAACCCATTTCCTCAAAATGCCTCTCTCCCAAGCTCCAGCATCCCTTGCCCTGCTCTCTGGTGGCACAGTGACTAAGCTCTCTCAGCTGCAAACCTGCTAGCGGCTCTGCAAGAGAAAGATGTGGCAGTCTGGTTCTGTAAAGATTAAACCAAAAAACCTGCTGCCTCCCAGTCAATTCTTGCTTAAAGCAAACCTATCGCACAGAGCAGAGCTACCCTCAGAGGGTTTTGGAGGCTGTAAATATTTTTGGAAACAGACTGCCTCATCTTTCTCCTGTGGAGCATTTGCTGGGTTCAAACTGCTGATTTTTTTTTAAGGATTTTATTGTGGATTGAGTGAAAGTTTACAGGGCATATCAGTTTTACATTCAACAAATCATACACCTTGTTTCATTACAAT